ATATATATATATATATATATATATATATATATATATATGTGTGTGTATATATAACATTGATTTGTATAAAATTGGGCAACATAATTCGTACTTTCGGTTTGCATTAAAATTAGTAAGGCCTCAAAGTCGGGGACTCAGAAATACTGGAGTCTATTAATAGTCTGCTCGACGCCGATAGTTCCGAATGCTGTTGGCCAAACAGCAGGCAAAAACGAAGCCCACGAACTGTAATAGAAATGTGTGGAAGCGGGAGAATTAATTAACTGAATCATCATTTGGAATTCCTTGACCCACCTCAATGGCGGCGATGACCAGGCCGGTGTACTTGATAATGTCGCTGTTTCTGTCCCAGAATTCGACAAATGCCTGCTTGCAGCCGCGACGATAGACCGTCTCCTGGCGACAATTGTTGGTATCCTTGCAGCACGAGGGCGGGAAATAGCCCTGGAAGGCATAATCCGCATAGCTGCTACGGCCACAGCACTCCATCTACATAAGAGAGAGGGCGAGAGGGTGGGAGATCGTGAATGACAGATCTCTTCTAATCGGCTTATATCTGTAATCCGGGTAAAACACTTACACTAATCTGTATAGCATCCATGTAGTCGGCACGGCGTGTGCGTCGTTCCCAGGCCTTCTCCACCACATCGCCCATGATCACGAGATATTTGTCCTTTTGTAGCCACATATAGACAACCAGAGCCAGCTGGCCAATCATCAGCACAAACAGCAGAATCGAGTACTGAAGAGAGACAAATATGCACACACACATATATCATTCTTTAACTCTCCTAGCATCTATCTTTTTCGCACTCACCGTCATGGACATGCAGTAGGATTCGCGTATGGCGCCACAGCAGCCAAACCAAGAGATCAACAATATAACGGTGCCCAGCACAATCATTGTTATTGGCACCTGTTGGGTGCGCAGCGCATCGGTAAAATCATCGACGTTGTGAATGTTGCTGAAGAGCAACGCTCCAAATACAATTAACAAGATGCCGCATATCTAATAAAATAAGCAAACATAATTATTATTATATATTACTAGATTTCGTGAATATATTATGTATTTGTATTTTAAATGTATTAAATGTAATTAACGCATAAAGCAGTACAACTGCTTGTAAGCAGCGCATTAGCGCGATCTATTGGTCATTTTACTGCAAGCAGTGTCATACATATGCCTACTAAACGTAAGCTGGCGCCACGCTTAATTGTGAAAAGGTCTAAAATTAGTTAAGTACTATTTATGTTCGCTAGGTGTCATCAGCAATGGTTGTTGTCCATATCAACGAGATCTGATTGGATCGATTTATTATATTATTACTATCTTCACTAGAGGTTGTTGTACTTAATAGAAACATTCATATTGCACAGAGATGGAGCTATGATCTGCCTTCCTACCTTTATGGTAGCTGTCTATGCTCAAAAAGGACCTGTGTGTTTGAAACTGCTATCGCCAGATGGCGGCACGTAGGTGTCACCACTTATAGTAACTGTCTATGCAGTAAAGGATCTATGTTTTGGGTCTGTAATTCTGCTGAAAATATCAGAGTAGCCCCATTTCCTAGCTAATTGTTCTGCTAGGAATATTTGCATAAACTTGTTCTTGATTCAGTCCGCTCAAAATAAATTTGTGCTAGTAATTCAATCTTACACATTTTATTTTTAGGCGATATGCGTTAATTGGTACTTTTTTCTTATCAATAGTTACTATCTAATCGATAGTCAATCCAATTAAGCAATTTAGATTAGAGGATATCCATAGCAAATATACACATATATGCTAAGGACAAATGTTTGCATTGATTTCATTTGTGACAAACGTCATTGGAGTTGAAATTGTAATTCTGATTTATAAGCGTGACTAATTTAGAGCTAATGGGGCTTACATATTAGGGACGTTGAAATCAACCAAGAGATTTGAGAGAAGGTGTAAATCAGCTTTAATCAAGGTTTATTGAAATTAAATTTGTAGTGTATGAAAATTCATTTTGAGTCAAATGCCCAAATATTTTGTAGCCCACTTCCGTGGCAATTAATGAGAGCATTTGAACTCACAATTTGACCTATTTTAAAGACGACATCAACGAATAATTTATGCAGTCAACGAGTCAGCCATTTAAGATCAGACAGCGATGAGCGCTTTTATGAATGGCATAGCTATGTGTACAGAGTAATCGTTAAGCTACATATACATGTATATATATATATATATATATGTACATATATGTATATATAGTATAAGCCATAAGTCAAGCCAAATGAGTTCAAGTGTGCTGTCAACGCCGACGCCCAATTTCCATTTCAAAATGTACCCCAAAGGGTGCGTGTGTAAATGCAATGTCTCACAGCCAGACTAGCTGAGGAGGGGCTGACTGACCGACTGACTGACTGACTGACTGAATGTACTGTCAAGTTCATATATATATATTTATAATTAAGACCGACTATTTTAGGCGTGGGCACCCTCGCACTTGCGCAATTTCCCGTTTCATATTGCACAATTTTTGGCTGTTTGTTTGCGTGACTAAACTACAAATTTATTTCAAATTTTATTCTACATTACATTTAGCTATAAAATTTCATAATTCACATGCATATGTATGTTTATGTTTATACTGCCTTATAGCTGCTCTTTAGTATAGTTTTTTTTTTCTTCATTATTTCAAATGGAAGTTAGAAGTTGCCTCTGAGCAATTACAAAATCAAATAAAACCTGTTGCAGCTGTTCGACTGGTTGACCTCGTTGCAGCTGCCGGTCAAATGTTACTTATATGGGAAACTAAAGAATAAAAATAAAAAAACATATATATGCACACATATACATATATACAACAAAAAACAATTGAGTTGCTATGCGAGGGTAAACTGTAAACTATGATATATTCAACTTTTTTACATTACTCTTTAAACCACCCTCGCAATATTACATATATACATATATATATACTTCATCCACACAACTCTCCAAGTTAGCCCAATTTTCATTAAATAACAAGTTTTGCATTCCTGATGATCTCAAAATCTTGTGACTTTTTCGTTAACCGGTTTGTAGGCCCAACATATATTCCCAAAAGCAAAACAATGCACAGTGAACACTGACTAGGCATAACTAGGCTGAGTTTCGCTTTCTTTCAACCATATCAAATATTTCTTCAATTACCTAACAGGAAAAACTGATAAAACTATAAACAAAAACATATTAGTCACATTTGTTAGTCAGCCACAGTGTTTACTGTACTGTATGTAAGCATAAGAAAACCTGTTTCAGAGCTACGACTTATGATATCATGCGAACGACTTAGGCTTTGGCACGTCACTGGGAAACGTAATTAAAAGTACACCTCAAATACATATATAAAACTTTACAAACAATAGAAAATGTGATTAAACTAACTTAAAAAAAATAAAAATAAACACTTTACTACATTTTTATATATATGTGGTTTTTTGTATACTCACCGAGCAGAGCAAATTGAATATAAATAATATATATTTAACCATAGAGATTCCACAGCTCATTTTGCTTGAGTTTTGAGATTCGATTCGATTCGTTGGGACGATTGAAGAACTGCAACTGTTTTTGTTTTGTTTAATATTTGAATATTCATTTTTCGGTTTTAAACATATAAATATACATATATATATTTTACGCTCGCACACACATTCGATATGTATACAAAAATAAAAAAAATATCAAGCATACGTTATAAATATATTATTGTATCATTTTTATTGAAGAAGTCAAATGCACGTATATACACACGATCTATATGAATACACATTCATGCATACATACATATATACATACACAGATACATCTCTACAAACATATGCAAGCGTCAACAACAATAGTGTTTGTTTATAACAATATCAAATTCTTTTCGCTTTCGTTCCTTATCATTTTAGTCAAGCTGCAAAGTTTAACAGCAAAACATGTTTAATTTTTTCCTCTTCTATATTGGGATTTTCGTTGAATTTGTTGGGATGCTTAGAAATTAAATTAACAAACCATTTCAAACGTTCAACGTTTCATTTAAAAATTAATTGTGAGGTCAAGGCGTGGCAGTCAATTGTTCAGCGTACAAGCTCGGGCAATAGCTTTTGCTTAGGCAGCAGCGACGCCTTTAACTGATTGAAACGCTCCCAGATGAACGGGTAACGCGCAGCCCATGTTAGCCACGCCTCCTTACTGGCTGTGCTGTTCTCCACCTGTCGCAAGTGTTTGTAGTATTTATTGTTTCGCTTAACAGCCGCCGCAACATCCTGAGCAAAGCGTGCAAAGCGCAACTTGAGCAGAGTTTCGGATACATCAATCAGCTTATCGCCCTTGGGCGGATGCACCAGGCACAGCTGGCAGACAACATAATCCTGTCCTTGGCTCTTGTTGAGCGGTATGAAGGTCGCCTCACGTCCAATTAGGCACTGCTGCAGCCAGGAGTACCCATTGGCGTTGACGCGCACGCCAGGCAGCTTCACGGGCAGTAGCTTCTCGCGAGATGTGAAGATGGGTATCAGCGGGCGATGCTTGATCATCAGCAATGTATCCTGATCACGCTGCTGGACGCCACGTATTTGGCCGGTATGCATAATCCTCTCGTTGATAATGCGCTCCGGTATATGGGACGGCTGCTTGAATTGGCGCACCAGATAAGCCGGCTTCCTCTTTATGTAAGCCACTAGCAACATCAACGACGAGGTGCCGTAGATGGCCAATTCGGTGCCCACTGTGTCGCGCTCCATATAATTACATAAGCTGTGATATTTCTCCAAGAGCTTATCCATTCTGGTATAGTCTTTATTTCCTATTAAGTACACTAGTGCCTAAAAGAGTGTGCGAAGGGAAAGGGTGTAAGAACTGTTTTTATGCAATTGCTTTTTATGACATCATTTTTATTTTACTTAATAAACTGGCACCGCAAACGCCTTCCAAATCGGTTCGATTTCTTATATGTATATAAACTGCTGTTTGTTTGTATGTGGCTTGTACATATATATATGTTTATATATGCTTAGCAGTGGCTAATTTTATTTTTCAGTTTTTTTGTTGTCATTCGTATGTCTTCTTTATTTTATGTTTTGCTTTGCTTTGCTTTGCAACTCGAACTAAACTTTTGACATTTACGTAGGCCAACAGCGCTTGAGAGCAAGCGAGCTAGCATGTGTGAGCTAAACGATCCCTAAACTGCTTTCCAACACTTGAAAGTTGACGCCTTGCAACACTCTGCGATCAAACAGACACACAAGCAAAGGCAACGGTATTCAAGATTCTCAGGCATACACACACACACACACTTACACACCTTGAGCGTACGATTTTCCGTTTTATTTTCGATTTGCGTTTTGTTTTGCGCGCGCTACGGTATGAACTGTTGCCGTTGTCGTTTCAGACTGAGATCGGCGACCACAACAACCGCCTGTTGCTCCACGCCAGTCGGTTGGGGTCGCTCACACACAGACACCGAGCATACAGACACCAACGCGTCGAGCAGGGGCACGTTGGCGTTTTTGGCACTCGGCTTCCAATTGATTACCTTACCATTTTTATTGGCGCGCAATGCATTCATACATACATATGTATGTATAAATGTATGTTTGTACATTATTTGTATTTGTTTTGCTCACGTTTTGCCCAACCCCGACCCATTTGGATGGCGTTGCCATAGCTGGCGCCATTCCTTACAATTGCATCAACTAGTTTTTCTCTGTCTCTTTAATAAATAGAAACTATTTAGAAGGCCCTTTGTTTGTTTATTTATGCAAATGCAGCTTGGCTTTGAACGTGATTTTTTGTATTTCGTTTTAAGTTTTTTGGTTTTGTGGTTGCGCGCCAAAACGTGTTCTCGTCTTGGGGTTTTACATTGACATACGTTTTATATCAAATACCTTGTTTTCAAGTTTCAATTACAATGCGGAGCTGAAATTACAGCTAAGCTTCCTCCTTTAATAACAATCTCGAGCGCAATATTTAATTCTAAGCCTCACTTTTCCCTGACACCAAAACAACAACAATGCCCGCTACAACAACAATAGTAACAATAACAACAATAGCCAAACTGGTTTACAAGCTGCTGTAACTTGCGTAATCCAGTCAAATAAACGTGGCTTGGAATACCCAGTTGTCATAATAAAAAAAGGTATGTCTATATATGTACATATGTATATAAAGACATATACATACAAAGATATACTTATTGCGACTTTTCATTTTCATCTGCTTCATCGTCACAGTCACCAAATCTAATTAACGAGTGCACACTGTACAATTAACCTCGGCCATATGTAAATGTATTTCCATGCTGCGACCTCACATACACATACATACATACATACATATACAAATATAAATTATAAAACAAAATCTATTTACATACATGATTCATTCATTCATTTAAATTTGTCGTAGAATTCATTTCTTAAGTTTTCAAAGATGTAAACACCTCATGCTAGTTTTCCTCGCTTAGTCTTAGTCTAGATTTCCCAGTGGAATAACACGCTTACGTCAAATGAAAGTAATTTTAGCTGTCGCTTAATAGGCAAATTGCTTAGCCCCTCCCCAAGAAGCTTTTCAGGCATAAATACTAAATTATTTCCGCTAGCATTCGACAGCTGGACAAACAAGTTGAGAGAGTAAACAAAACACGGACATGCATGATTATCTATAGTAATCTCTGTAAGAAGACGATCATTCAATGTATGCCAGAGTATATCTTCTGCCGTTATGTATATATAGCCACAATATTGCAATAACTTACAGTTTTGAATGATTATTTACAGTAAGTTGACGTCATAATTAAATTTGTTATTTACGTGTTCTTTACAATGGTATAGTTGTTATAGAGTATATACACTGTATATACTCTAAAATATCCCATATTTATATATTCTCTATGGAAAGTACAGTGATCAATTGATTTGGTTACTTTTTAGCAGCTCTTTAATTTTTCACACCTCAAAACCGGTTCACATAACTGGTTACTTAAATAAAGACCACATGTCACAGCTTACGTATGCGCTGGCCTTTCACCAGCATGCTTTACTGTAGACAGAGAATGAAAGTAAAACGATTAACGAATTAAAACCACATTAATTGGAAAATAGGGACGCCATAGTTGTGTGCTTTATTCTGTGCGGCTGCAATGCAGCTTAGTCGTAAACAGTTAAAATCGTAAAATTATGAGTGGGCTTTGCAGATTTACATAAATATGGAATCAATATAAGCGTCGCGTGTACTGTATCTGTTGGCCGTGCGGTGACTGTCCGGCACTTGCGCCCGAACCCGGCTGACCGGGCAGCATGGACAATTGCTGCCTGGCCAATTGTTGATCATAGGGACTGGCGCCTCGGCCGGGCGCATATCCCTGCGTAATGCTACCCGTGGCCTTGGCATTCTGCATAAATGAAAGAAAAAAATTAGGCATGGCTAGGAAAATGTGGTATGTTCACCAGATCTCACCTGTGCTGCACTGCTGCTGATTTGCAATACATTTGGATGCAGCGATAGCTCGCCGAGAAGTGGCTTATAGATGACGCCACCCTCTGACAATAAATGCGGTGGAGGAGGCACATGACCCTGTGACGAACCATCATGCTTCACTTCTATGTGATAGCGATCCGGTAGCTTCTCCATGGTCACCTGCGGCTTATTGGACGTTTGCACGGATAGACTGCTAGCTCCCGCTTGTACCTGCACCAGGTCTGACTGCGAAATGGGCGGTTGATCCAAGTTGATGTGAAGCACCTGCATCGGTTGTGCTTTTGGCGATGGTGATTGTGAGCCAGGAGCTTTGCTGACCGTTGCGCTGGGTCCTGGTTGGAGCTCAACATGATATGGAGGCCGAAGAGGCAAGCCATAGTTGTATATGGACTGAAGACGAGCGTCTGCTTGATGCTGTGTGGTCGTTGTGGTCGTCGAAGTTTGATAGAATAGAGTGCCTGTACTTGGATACTGTGCCGTAGATTCTGCAAAACAAAAACAGGGAAAGTGAAAAATTTAGTTGGTGGTCAAACATTTTACAAGATCAACTTAGACGGTTTTAGATGAACTACTTAAAGAGTAACGATTAATGTTCTTACTGTTCCATGACATTTTAGCATAATCCGCGCCACGACGGAAGTCATCGTGTTCTGCGAAACGAATTGTAAACAAATAACGAAATGAAGACGTAAATTAAGTGTGTCTGTGTGAGTTAGAAAGGGTTGCTCAAAACGTGAAAAAGACTACATATGTAGATTAGTGGAGTGGAGTAGTGACAAGGCCTCTGTTTGGAACGGTAGCCCTTACTCTGTGTTTGTTGTGTTGCGTAGTTAGCGGGGCTCTTGTAGTACGCCTGATGCTGTTGGCTGGGAGGCGAGGGGCTGCGACCGCGTTTCACAGTTGTTGACTGGCTCCCAGGGGGTGGCGGTTGCTAAACAAAAACATTTATAGTTTATATAATGCTTGGTAATGTATATAGAGGTTACTGACCTTCTGCAGCAGCGGCAGCTGATGATGTAAGCGACCAGGTGGCAGAAATACCTGAGCTCTGGCTGCAGTGGCGGCAGCTTCCTGCTGCATTGCAAATAATTCATTTTCTTTCGCCTGCTTTTTACGTGTTTCGTCATCGTTTAGAACTTTCTTCAGCTGTACAACCAGCTCATGCTTTTTCTGATGCAAATCGGCAAGCTGTTCATCCAGTCGACTAATTTGTCCACGTGTATCTTCGAGAGATAAATTGTTCTCACGCTCACGAGCCTCTTGCTCCCGTCGCAGGCGCAGCTCCTCACACTGTCTTTCGTACTCTGCATGCGAATATATTAAACTTACTGTGCTTTTAGAAAAAGTTAATTTGACTTACCCTCTTGTCTACGTTGTCTCTCGGCTAGTATGAAGCCTTTAAGTGACCCTCGCAGCTTTTCTGCACGCTCTGCAGCTGCCGCTTGTGCGGCCGCATTGTTATTGTTAACCGCAGACGCTGGCGGCATCTTATTGCTATGCTTACTTATTTTGCCAATTTTATAAGCTTTTATGTGACAGTCACGCACCGCGTAAATTGTGTTAAACCAAGTCTAAATATTGGCTACAGCGCCTTAGCAGTTGGCTAAACCGAAACTGATTTATTTGATGTCCAACTAGTGCGGTGTTGTCACGTCTACGCGTTTACTTCTTTTAAGTTAATTAGATGGACACCTAGTAGAAATCGTCTGTGGAATTTAAGTCGCAGCTCGATTAATATTTTGTCGCTAATTATACGATTTGTTATTCATAAATTCTGCTCAACTTCCCAAATAATAAACAATTGTTGTGTACAGAGCACGCGGCCTGGCAACTCTGCTAGTGGCGTAATAGAGTTGTCTCTTTTACTCTTATGTTGACAACAGCTGGTGGCATACTTGGTCATACTGGCGACTATCGATAGCGTATAATAGTATCGATACCATAAACGCAGCCAGCTTGTTTCAGTTGCAGTCGAGTTTTCTTTGCGTCTTGTTGTCATTTCGCGAAACATCTCTTTGATACAACAAAAAAGTGCTTATAATATATAAAAATTAGTGATATAAAGTGCAAAGCGCAGTTATTGCTGGTGTGCATTGTGCGGGCAGATATACATAAATACAAATGCTGTGAAATGTGTTCAGTTCTTTGATGAGCCCAATTTCATTTTGTATCTACCAATAAGAGAGTTAATACAGCGTCAAAATAAACAAAAGGCAAAATAGTCAAGGAAAAGGCGGCTAAACTAAGAAGAAGCTACGGCATAAGGCAACAACACAAACAACAAGAGCAACATGGCCAGTGAGTAATAATAACAATTAGAAATAGAAATAAAATTATGCTCGAGTTTTATGGTCCCAGCACCAGCAACTACACTCATTTCAGCTGCACGTTTAATGCACCTCTTAGCATAAACAAATGCAACTCATGCGTATCATTGTGTGAGTCTGGATATGTGTATATATATACGTATATATATATAATTATGTGTGTACATTTGTGTGTGTGGCAATGTCTACATTTTATGTTCTGCCTCTTTATAAATTTTACGAACTGCCGCAGAATGCAGAACAGATACGAGGTGTAGAGACCAGGTGCCTCAAGTGTCTGTCTGTCTGCCGGTTGGAAAGGCTGCTGCTTTGGCTGTGAGAAGTGTATATTGGGTTGGGGGAAAGAGAGGTGCTGCCGCCTTTTCCCCGGGGAGTCATGTGTGAAAAATCAATATTTACGGTCTTAGCAGTTGTTGTTTTATTTTGCAGTGTACTATGCCCGCTTAAATCTCTAAGCTAGACCTGGTCACACTCAGTGATCGCCTTAGAATTTCTATAATAATCGTGCATGAAAGATAAACAGAATTGAGTTGATCAATTTTAATTGATT